TGTTAATTGTGTATGCTAGTACGTGATTTTGTACTTGGTGTTGGGATTCAAAACATGAATTTGCGGGTGAACCAATGTTTAGATATAGGAATTGCCCTATTGTTCTTAATTTCGAACTAAAGGATAAAATAAAGATTTGAATGACTTGGGTTGATTATTTAGCTACCTATTGTTAATTGTGGTGGTAGATTCTCACTTGGGTGTTGTGATTGATGTAGGAGGGATAGGTACCGAACAACCGGTGGAAATCAAAAGGCTTACCAAGTTGGGCACGCCAAGTGTTCGACAAAATTCCCGAACCAACTTCCAAAGGCTTTCGACCCTCCATCTCGCACAAATTCGATCGAAATGACGTCGCCGGCCAAGAAACTCTTAAAGACGGGCGAAACCACCAAAAAAGCCCAACCCAAGGAGAAGGCACCGGCAAAGGGAAAAGCCGCACCGAAGAAAAAGGCGGCTTCTCGAGGTACGGGAAGCCAAGAAGGCACTTCGAGCGCACCACCACCATCTCAAGTGCCGGAGGAGCAACAAACCCCACGCACGGGAAACGTGCAACTTGAGATGGGATCCCGGGCTAATCAACACACCATCCTTGACCGCGTAGTCCTCGAACCGGGAGATGAGCTTTTGTACGTGAACGTCGAGGCAAAAAGGGAATTCATACGTCGCCACAGCCGACCGTTTGTTCCAGAAAGGGAATTAGATCTCGATGGCATGCCAAGAGAGTCGATCTTCGAAAACTTTGATCGCCGACAATGGAAGTACTTGGCCAAACGACCGGAGGACTACAACGAGAATCTAGTGAGGCTCTTCTATGCCAATGCCGGTTTTCACCCGGGGTCGGTGGTCGTTCTTCGAAACCAAGAGGTGCGCTATGACGCTGCTACAATCAACAAGTTTTTCCACCTACCCGAAGTCCCGACCGAGCCGTTTCAACAACTGAAGATGGCAACGACCTATGAGGAGCTGATTCAGACTCTTTGCCCGAGGGGTTCGAAGTGGGAAAAAGGAGAGCACTGGTTTCGTCGGGGAGAACTTTCAAGAGAAGCGAAGGTTTGGATGTACTTCGTCAGTAGCAGGCTAATGCCCACAAAATCGACGGCCAAGACCTATGCCCCACGTCTTACACTGATGTATGCCATAATGAAGAGGACACCTGTGAACGTGGGCGCGATCATACACTCTGAGATCCGACGATGCTTAGGTGATACCTCTCTAGGTCTGATGTTCCCTTCCCTCATCACTACACTGTGTGATCGTGCAGGGGTCCCCACATACGCTGATGACCGGCTCATCAGGTCACCACAGCCGATCTTCCCTTACCACAAGCTCCAGCCAGCGAGTGGACCCCTAGGCGAGGGCGACTCGGACTTACCAGATGCGGGTCCCTCAGGTGTTCATGCGGCTGGACCACAACCAAGGGCCAGAAGAGGCAGACAAGAAGCAGCACCACAGCTCCCGGAGTATGTCGGCCAATGGATGGATGTTATGGAGGAAAACGTGGGATGGTTCAAGAAAATGATAAAGGCCATGGCTGCAGCGCTTCAGTGCAGGACCGATGACATTGTCGAGCCACGGCCGTTCCCACCACGGCCTCGATATGATGGAGCATCAACCTCCGCCGCCGACGAACAAGCACAAGCGGCTGCCACTACACTGGTGACACAGGCCTGGGAGGAGTACGAGCGGGGACGACCGGAAGAGGAGGGAGGAGCCCACGAGGACGATCACGACAACTAGGGGACGTTGTGTTTTCTTTCCCTTTTATTTTTTATTCTGCTTTTGAGCATAGGGACTATGCTAGAATTTAAGTTTGAGGGTGGTGTGTGTTGAACCTGTTTGTTTTTAGTTCGTTTGTTTTGGGATGAGTCGTTGGATTGATATTTCGTTTACGATGTATCTTTGCTAGACTTTGTTTATTTTCTTTTTATTTTATTTATCTTATTTTGATTTGGTCTTTTGCATGCATATCATATAATTTAGTCTCGTTTATGTATTTCGATTTCCGTAATTGTGTTATGTTTGTCACATGCATCTCATTTAGGATCGAGTGTAATTTGCATTTCCGGGTTCTTTTGAAGCAAAGCAATTAATGAATTAGTAGATGGGCTAGTTGATTTTAAAATTGAAATTTTGGATCACCGGCTAATTATAGATGAACCTTCCGACTGCGTTTTTGCAACTTGTGTGGATAGCCTTTCGAATCCTTTCCGATTAAGCTTGAGCGCATTTTTCTGAGGGGTATAATAGCCTGAGGTTTGGGGGGCAGGTTAGAATTGAATTATGTGTTCACGATTTCGAGTTGTTGGCTAGAAGTTCTATCAATGGTCTTTACGTTTTTATTCGATATTGAAAAAAAAAAAAAAAAAAAAAAAAAAAAAAAAAAAAAAAAAAAAAAAAAAAAAAAAAAAAAAAAAAAAAAAAAAAAAAAAAAAAAAAAAAAAAAAAAAAAAAAAAAAAAAAAAAAAAGTTGGGAAAAAAACCCCCATTTTTGGGGGGGCCCCCCCCCAATTAAAAAAAAAGCCCCCCTTTCCCCCCCCCCCGTTTTTTTATTTTTAAAAAAAAAAATTTTTTTTCCCCCCCATTTCCCCCCAAAACCCCCAAAAAAGGGGTTATTTGGTAAAAACCCAAACCCCGAACCCCCCCCCCCTTTTGGGGAAAAAAAAAAAAATTCCCCCCGGGGAAAAACCAAAACCCCTAAACCCCGGGCCCCCCCCAAAAATTTAGGTTACCCCCCCCCTTTTTCCCTCCAAAAAAAAGCCAAGGGTTTAACCCCCCCCCCAACTTTTGGGGGGGGTTTTCCAAAAACCCCCCCAAAAAAAAACCCCCCCCTTGGGGGCCCCCCGGGGTCCCCCCCCCTTGGCCCACCCCCAAAACCAACCCGGTTCCCCCC